TAACGTCACTCCATCCTCAAGTGGAACATTTGTGAACAGTAACAAGTATTGATGTGTGCAACTCTGCAACTCAGCTGGAATTAAGCTTTTTATTTATCAATGGATGGTCATCAGATGGCCAGAGGGATTCCCTGTGCATTGCGGGGGTCCCCGTGCCTGCTTGTGAGTGACATGCACATGGCGAGGGCTAGGGAATCGCAGCCTCTGTGATTCGAGTAGTGACATCGTTTACGCAAGGCAGGTGGACGACTCTGAGCCTGGCATGCTCCTGGGTGGCACAGCACAGCTGACATGGAGTGGGGCAAGGGCTTGTTCCACGAGCTTCTGTGTTTTTTGTTTTGTTTTGTTTTGTTTTTGTTTTTGAGATGGAGTCTCTCTCTCTCACCCAGGCTGGAGTGCAGTGGCACGATCCAGGCTGACCGAAAGCTCCACCTCCTGGGTTCACGCCATTCTCCTGCCTCAGCCTCCCGAGTAGCTGGGACTACAGGTGCCCGCACCATGCCCAGCTAATTTTTTTTGTATTTTTAGTAGAGACGGGGTTTCACTGTGTTAACCAGGATGGTCTCGATCTCCTGACCTCGTGATCTGCCCGCCTCGGCCTCCTGAAGTGCTGGGATTACAGGTGCGAGCCACCGTGCCTGGCCTGTTTTTGTTTTTTTTTGAGACAGAGTCTTGCTCTGTCATCCAGGTCGGAGTGCAGTGGCACGATCTTGGCTCACTGCAACCTCCAGTCACTGCAACCTCTGCCTCCCAGTTCGAGCAATTCTCTTGCCTCAGCCCCCCAAGTAGTTGGGATTACAGGCATGTGCCACCGTGCCTGGCTGATTTTTGTATTTTTAGTAGAGATAGGATTTTGCCATATTGGTCGGCTGGTCTTAAACTGTTGGCCCCATGTGATCCGCCCACCTTGGCCTCCCAAAGTGCTGAGATTACAGGCATGGGCCACTGCACCCGGCCCTGTGTTTGACTCTTAAATCTTCTTTTTCTTTTTTAATATTTCTGTTTCTGGATGGCCACTCAGTGGATATGGAGGAAGAGTTCACAGATGTCCGTATTACATTTCTTACTTAAATTAGCCTCCCTGGAACACTGCTATAGGATACAGATGCATGAAGGGCTGAAAGGGTGTTTGCGTCCCAGTAAGTGTGACCGTGGAGCTGGTCTGTGAGACCCCGGTGCCAGTGAAGGCACCCGTGTGAGATGGCCTGGGATGGGGGTGTTCAGAGCCCTGACTGTGGCACACACCCTTCAGCTTTGATGTTTCAGGCCATTGCTCTGGTCGTCAGTGAGCAGAAGGTCTAACAGCAGTGACATTTATCACTGGCTGTGTTGACCAATGTGTTAGGAGGGTGAACCTGTTTGACTTAAGCTGTTTGACGGGTTTGCATTTAAATAGACAACTGGTGACCTGGTGCCTGGACACTTGCTCTGTGACCTGCCCCACGTGGCTTCTCCCTCTGGTATGCATTAGATGAGATGGGCGTGTTTAGGGTGGTGTGGCCCTAGACTGGAATGCATTAGAAGTGCAAACCCTGCCTGACCCCAGACCTGCCCCACCCCAGTGTGACTTTTGGAGACGGAGGCCCAGCATCCTTCACCTGCCCTCCAGATGGGTCTGATGGACCCTGAGGTTTCAGAGCGCTGCTTTGCTGGCACACCAGCAAGTCCTACTTAAAGAGGCCAGGATCTGAGATGGAAGGTTACCAAATTGTATAGCAGAAAAATAGAAATGTTTCCTTAGAATGGGTGTAGGAAGAAAAATGATTTCCTTTGTCATATCTGGAAAAGATTTCAAATTAGTAACTAGCACTATTTAGAATTGTTAGTGGTCTCCTGTATTTCTTCTTATTATTATCATTTTTTTTTTTGATATAGGGTCTCACCCTGTTGCCCAGGCTGGAGTGCAGTGGTGTAATCTTGTCTCCCTGCAACCTCCGCCTCCTGGACTCAGGTGATCCTCTCACCTCAGCCCCCTGAGTATCTGGGACTACAGGCATGATACCACACCTGGCTAATTTTTGTATTTTTTTTGTAGAGACGGGGTCTTGCTATGTTGCCCAGACTGGTCTTGAATTCAAGCATTTCTCCTGCCTCAGTCTCCCCAAATGCTTCTATACCCCTGCCGCAACAAGGAAGGACAAGAGGCGTGAGCCACACTCCTGGCCTCCTGTCTTTCCTTGTCGGAGCAGGGATGTAGAAGCACTTGCTGCAGCTGACTTGAGTACATCTCGTTTCCCTTTTTTTCCTCACGGGTAACCTGGCAGTGCTGTGCACCAGTGCTGCTGGCCAGCTGTTTTTTCGATGGACTGGCAGAAAATCAAGCTGAGATCTGGGTTCCTTTCTCCCTGGGTACTGACCAGGTGGGAGAGGAGGGACGTTATCTGAGTATCATCTTCATGAGGGCTGGTGGAGAAACGTCAACTTTAAGGTGCCTGGGATCTAAGGCATGGAACCCAGCAGTGCAGTGGAAGGCAGGGGATGTAGCCTTGGGAGTGGAGATGTGCGGGCCGGTGCCCTCCTTCCTGGCGGGATCTCAGTGCAGGAACAGGTTGGTGACCCAGCCGAGGTCACGGAGCAACCTGCCAAGACCTGCCTGGATACATGGCTGGCGTCCGTGCTGGCCCCAAAACTGCCCATTTGGGGATTCCCTGCAGTTGCAGACCCACCTAGGGGTCCGGAGAGTGTCCCAACCGTGACCTCAAAGAATGAGGTGTTGCCTTGAGATCCTCCAAGGTGAGGGTAGGAATTTTTTTTTTTTTGCAATTAGCAATAATTTGTTGTGAATGACCTTGGACCTATTTTCCACTTCTTTGTATAGGAAGAGAGACAGAATAAAAAGTCTCAATGTGCCAGATGCCATGTAATGAAGTGGTGGGGTTAACGTTGTTGATTATTAGGTAGCATCACGTTAATTGGAACGTATTCACACGTGTCCACAGCGTGTGCGTGTGAGTGTGCGTGTGTCCGATGAGCACGTTGGGTTGGGGTCGCTGCTGGTTCATGCAGCCCCTCTGGGTGGGGCTTTCTCTGTGGCTTGCCCAGCACCGTTGCTGCTGCCTCTGTTGGAGTTCAGCCTTGACCCGCCTTGCTGCCACCAGGTTCTCAGGGCCTGTGCACACTCTTCCCGGAGCGCACCCTCGTCTCGGCGCGCCCCCTCGTCCCCGCGCGCCCCCTTGTCCCCCGTCGTGCGCACCCGGGGGGTCTGCTGTGTGTTTCTACTCAGCCCATGCCCGCCTCTTGCTGTGAGCTCAGTTGATTGAGGTGCGGTGAGAAACCAACAGAGGGGAGCAGTGTCCGAGGCTGTCAGAGTGGGAGGGAGCCTTGGGCATCTCTTCCCCAGCTCTGGTGACCCACCCTTCGCGATGTAGTGCTGGGGAGACAGGTGAGTTCTAAAGGTAAGGCCGCCGTGATTTCCTGAGTTTTAAATCTAACACTGGGCCATTTGCCCTGTCGCCCCATCGAAGGGCACCTCTAGAGACAAAGCAAAGCCTCTGGTGGCCGTGGGCGGGGCGGCCATGCCTGTCTGTGGGTCCTGTAGAGCCTACCCGGCCACCAGCCGTGGGAATGTTCAGGCACTTGCTGCCTGTGGGAGGTGTGCGTTAGTCACGTGGTAGGTGCTCACGCGTGGAGGGACAGGCACAGGCCCACAGGCGTGGCGGGTGTGGGAGAAAGTGCGCAGGGTGCCCAGCAGATGCCGTGTGGTCAGTGGAAGCCGTGAACACAGGCCGGGCTCGGGAGACACATTTGGAAATACACTTTAAGCAGCATCAATGGATAATGCTGCGATTTGGCTTCCTCCCGTGGTCCAAAACACGTTCTAGTGATGCCGCTGCTTTGTGTGTACCTGAGACAAGGGTCTACGTGTATTAGGGCCTTGATGTAATCTGTAAAACGGGCACAGAATGCCTGTTTCAAAGAGGCAGTGGACAAGAAAGCGTGCTCTCTTCAGTGCAATGAGAATGCTTCATTGTCATAAGCAAAGTGAAATGCCTCCAAGGCGAGCTTGCCCTGCGTTTAATGACCTTGGACACGAGCTTCCTAAACCTGATAGAAAGTGCTTCCAGCGTGGCATCATGCAGTGGCTTCAAGCAGTGGCTTCATTCAGTGGCTTCAGTGGAGAATGTGCATGTGCGGCTGATACTGAGAGCTGGGCAGCACCCTCCTGACCTGAGGGGTCCCCATGTGTGGACCGTGAGCCGGGCAGCACCCTCCTGACCTGACGGGTCTCCTTGTGCCCATTGTGGGACCTCCGTCACTCAAGCAAGTGACACACGTCAAACTGAATGCAGGGAGGAGGGTCCAGGATTGCACGCAGGCTCCGTGTCTCGTCCTTCTGAGGCCTTCTGGGAAGCCAGGAGGGCAGTGGGGACTTCTGTGTGTTTCCTCCTGGTGGCTGTGAATTTGTAGCAATGGCTTTCTGCAGAAGGGCCCGGAGGCGGAATCAGAGCCTGTCTTGGAAAGGATGACGTCTTCATGGGCACCTCTTTCCGCCTCTCCAGTGCTCCTGTGATTTTCAATATGTGCACCCTGCAGACTTCAGCCTGTTGGTGTCTCGGGGGAATAGATACCAGGATTGCTTCAATGTCTGCAAACCTGAAACAGGAATTTCTCTGCATTAAGTTGGTCACCAAAATGGGAGGTAAG